TGGTTGTGTACACGTTTGTAAGGGAGACTGTAGCAGAAAAGCAGCATTTCTGGAGGAGAGGCTAAGGTTGAGTGATGGAACTCTATCAAGTTGAAAGCTGCAGGTGCATCTTTTAAGAGAAGTTAGAAGGCTTTGAGGAAGCAAGTTTTGGGAAAATACAATTGTTTGATGGTAAGGGTTTCGGTTGCTCCAGAAAGTTAAAGCTTCTTGGTACCTAAATGTTTACTGAAGCCATTGGAGTGAAGTTAGAATTCTACTCAGCTATGGAGAAGAGTTTTAAATTTTCAATCCAAATATATTGTATGTTTGATAACCAAAAGATTTCACTTCAAAGGCAGCTTGGGGTAGTGATTGATGGTCTATGTTATTTTTCATCAAATCTTTGTAATTTGACTTCAATGGCATTTAGCAGTTCTAGAGTTACCAATTGATTGTGTCCGTATCTCAACGTTTTTGCAAGTTAATTGAAGGATTTAATGTTAAGTATTTTGTGGGAAAATTTGGGCAACTTAATCAAGTTCAAAACACAGCAATAGTAAAATCAACCCAAGAATTTTTTACATGAAAAACCCAAAAAGAAAAAAACCATGGACCTACTCCATATAAAAAATTCCACTATGAAAAATTGTACACTTGCAGAGATTTTTCTCTAGATGGAAAGAACAACAACATCAATCTCACTTCCCTGGATGGAACTGGATGCATAAATAATGAAATCACAAGATTCTACCTTGCCCTCAAACTTGTTCGAATAAGTCTGACAGTTAAGGGGGAGACTACTCTGACTTTAGTCTCTTCAGTTTTTTTAGCTATCTTGAACTGCAACTCAGCTTGCAAAATCATTAAGAGTCACCCCCCAAATCAAGGAGGACTAGAAAATATTCCAGCAAACAAGGACTGCAGGAAAGGAAATCACTTTTATAAGTAAATCTTTAACCTATCAAAGGAATCTTCTTGGATGATACAATGCTGATGAACTGTTACTTACTAATTGTATTGATGAAAAATTGCAGAGAGAAACACTTCTTTAGTTGAGTCTCCTTTTCCAATGAAAATTTTCTTCGAGGCTTGACAACAAAGCAGAGAAAATTTTTTGCCAATGACCTGAGTAAAGAAATCAATTAGAGCGGAAATAAATACCGAACAAGGGTTGTCAAGTTTGCATGATGAACTCCCATAAGAAGTTTAACCTCTCATTGGAGTTATAGCATAATGTTCAAGACATGAGGATTAACTCAAAAGTATTTTAGAGATAAAATGTTCATACCTTTATAGGAAATTCCCTGTACCCTTGACCGGATGATGAGATAGCATCTCTACGGCTGTAGGCTACTTAAGAACCATCATCTAAGTAATCATCAAAGTGTTCCCATGCCCCTCTTCTGATGTCTCTCTCAAAGATATTGGTAAGTTTCACTAGCTCACAACATTTAAATTTTCCATTCTTTGACTTCAAAGTAATTGTAACCATCTTGTTCTCTTTTTCAGCATTCAACTTCTTTACATCTGATACAGTCAAGTTCAACGAGAACAGGTGTGCCAGGAAAACTTATTAGTTGATTTTAGAATAAAAATCAGCACTCGAATGACTTAATTGAACATCCAACACTATTTAACAAACATACAGTGATACCTTGTCATTTATTTATTTGTCTATTCCGTCTAGGCTCCAAAATGTAGGCAAATGTTGCAGCTGATGCTTCCAGTGGAACAACAGACTTGTTTTTCTTCTCCTCTCACACACTTCCATCAATTTAGTTGACATTATTATTAGTATTCAAAAACAAACAGAATGATAGATGTGTGTATCCACTATGAATTTAAGATGAAGCAAACCTGAATAAGTTGATATATTCCTTGACCATGAGTGGAAGGGAGCCAGAAAGCTCGTTTCCTTCTAAATTTCTTGCAAGGTTTAGAAGCAATATCAAATAGGAATTAGTCATTGACTTCACCCCTACCGTTAACTTCACCAAATATGCATAGATAACTTACAATATCTCAAACAAGGTCAATTGGGCACTTCTCTGGTTATGCCACTCTCTGATAAATCCCTCTAACAAACATCTTAGTCAGTTTAATGTCATTCATTAATTGGTTTCCACCATCAACATCTTCACCAAATTGTTTTCTTGTGAGATAAATATATACTAACAGAAAACTGTAGTATTTTAAGATAAGATATATAAGGACCTTGTAAATCTGCAAGCACCTTGAGGACAAGTTCCTGCATATTCAATGTATTTGTTAGTAGTCAGTAACTAAAAACTTTGTGAACTTAATACTCATCCTAGTTGGAAGGATCATAACCCTCATGGATGCCATTAAGACCACCCCAAGAGCAATCTTTAGGTGCACAGTGATCTTGTTGCTGGTTTCTCTAGAGTACATATGTTGACTTTCAGTAGATTATTGCATCAACCAACTCCTTCAGCTGTACCATTTTCATGAATTAGTTATTGACTTCACGCTTACCACCAACTTCACCAAATATGCATAGATAACTTACAATATCATAAACAAGTTCAGTTGGATGCTTCCATGGTTATGTCATCCTCTGATAAATTTCTATCAAATGGAAGCGCCATGAGATATCTTCCCTGTAAATCTGTAAGTGCCACGAGAACAAGTTCCTGCAGATTCAAGTTGTCAGTAAACAAAAACATTGTGAACTTGATACTCATCCTAGCTGGAAGTATCATTACCCTTATAGATGCTATTAAGACCAACCCAGGATCTTGTTGCTGGTTTCTCTCCACTACATATGTTAACTTTCAGTTAATTATTGCATCAGCCAACTCCCATAGCTGTACATAAATTTTAGTCAGAATCATGTATAATAGGTTCTAGAATTCCAGAAATAAGTTGAAAAGATAAAGGTTAGAAAAACTTGTACCATTTTCATGACAGCAAGAGCATTGAGAACTAATGGGAGGGTTGATCTGTTGGTTCTTTCCAAACAAAAGCCAATGCTTTCTCCACTCAGCGGCGATAAAACTGTATATGGTACTTGTAATAGAGAATTCTGGAGCAATGGCACCATAAAAAAGTTCTCTATTTCAAGAATTTTTTAATTCTCTGCTCTGATTTGCTTGGAGCCCTTAACCACAGCAAAGTGTATGTACAGATGAAATTTGACACTCAGTAATAGCCAAATGTTGCTTACATATACCAGTTATCTGCAATGCTCATAAAAAGAGGTCCTGACCAGTAACCATTACAATTCCAGCAGTCAAGAGGAAAGAATGTTCTTTGAATGTTGCTATTCCAATTCAGCAGGGTAGAAACTGCAAAAACACCACAATCACTAACCTTAAATCAAATCACTTTCATGCTTAAAAATTTAATTTAGTACGTAGTTTGATATAAATTATAAATCTACTAAGGACATGATATGGTTACAAAGTAACGAGAACCCTACTCAAATTTTTGGTTTAGGATCATGGTGTTGACATAATTTGAGCCACAGAAGAGATAAACGCTGAGTTTGCATATCATACATTTGGCACAAAACCTCGGAGATATTTCGAGCATCCATGAATCATGAAAGCATTCTCACATACAGTTATGTGCATGCAAAGACGCCTATATTTAATTGTTGAATTCATTTTTCATTCAAAATATGAAAGAGGATTATGAAAAAAAAAAAATTTAATGAAGAATAAAAACAGACCTTTAATAGGATTCCACAGTGTGGCCATGCACCTCCTCTGTTTTCTCTCCATGGCATCATTTGATAATTATTTGAGCCCTATAAATTCAAACAAAATAAATCAAGAGCTATTCAATTGGGAAAAATATCGTAAGAAGGAGAAACCTGTAAAAGAATTTGAGCACTCACTAGATTAGCTTTGATAAATTAAATTAAACGTACCTCTTCTTTTCAAAACCTAGATCCTTTAGGGATTGCAGGGTCATCTACCAGATGTAGGTATGCGGAATGTGGGAAATCTTGGGCCATTCAGGGCCCCTCTCTTTAGCGCATCTTTCCTTTAATTTGGAACAATTATTAATTGAAAGACGTTCTAAGTTGGAGAGACGATGCATGGCTTTAATAGAAGGCAGATACATCAAATTATCACAATAATCAATCGCAAGCCTGTGAAGAGAAGAAAGGTCTCCCAACCACTCTGGTAAAGCTTCCACTCCATTGAACCGGCTTATAATCAATTGCTGGAGGGCAGTGAGATGTCGAAGCTGATGTGGCAGTGACTTTAGTTTATCCCATCCTTCCAATCTCAAAGATTTGAGGGAGGCATGGAGGTGATGCATGGAAGTGAGCCCTGGGTATTCTTCCAACTCAGACCAGAAAGGATTCATCCATAAGCTCTCCAAGCACGTGAGCCTACCTAGGCACTCCTCTGGAATGCTCTTCAATTTGTTACACCGACAAATCCTTAAAGAAGTAAGAGAAGAGAGGTTTCCCAACCACTCTGGTAAAGCCACAAGACTCCAACAATTAGATATCCTCAGCACAGAGAGCTTGTGGTGAGATGCAAATCCACCCATCGACCAAGTCTTCAACTTAGGACAAGCCTGAATTTCCAACCACTCAAGGCAAGGAAACACAAGTACTCCTTCTATTTCTGCCCATTCCTCTAGGCTTTCCATGTCGCTTAATGTGAGATTTTTCAAAGCCGGGAACAGTGTGATTGTGCCGCCTCCACCATGGCTACTACTTGCAATGTTGCTTCTGTTAAGATAAAACTTGCTGCCCATACGTTTCACCTTTTCCATCCTCCGTATATTAAGGACTTCGAGATTAGGCAAAAATCCCAAACTAGGAATATCCATACATTCACCACAGCCATATAAGTCCAATTCCAGTAGATAATTGAGTAAAAATGCATCACCAGATAAATTGACACCCTTCTCCATCCATGACGGAAACTTTTCTCCCATATAACCATCAATACTTAAGCTTTTCAAATCTGAGGGCGGCTGAAGGCCTTCTAGAACCTCCTCATAACTGTTGTAGCTCTCTTCTTTGTTTCTTCCCCATTGCAATCGCAACTTATACAATTTTGTCTTCTGCTCCATGTTTGCTTTGGTGGCTTCTGATTTAGATTTGACAAATTCAAGGTTGCATATTCTCAATGCTCCTCCAAGTTGACTCAAGCATCCAAGTTCTTCAATTTGATATCCCTTTTCTTTGCCCACAGCAAATAATGATAAGGTTTGCAAGGAAGTCAAACACCCAATATTTCTTGGCATGAGCTTGTCATTGCTAAAATAAAAATGTCTTAAACTGATCAGATTTTCCATTCCATCAGGAAGCTTTTGAAGACGAGGGCAGTACATCAATTTTAAGGTTTGCAAATTATACAGCTTGGAGAAGGATTTTGGCAACGCCCTGATTTTAGTGTTTGAGATGTCAAGGTATCTCAAATGCTTCAATTTGCTTGGAGAAGCTGGTAGTTTATCACCATCTGCTTTCTTTAAACTTAAAGACCGTATGCTTTTAAGATCCATCTTTGACATGCTACAGAAATCAACCTCTGAGAACAATGAATGCAACTTTGGGGCAACACCTTTCAAGATAGCTGAATCCATTTCTACACCAGATGGGACCCTCAGATGTCGAATGCAAGAATTTCCACGGATGGAATCATTCTTCAAAATCAATGCTTCACCTTCTGAAACTAACAAGGCAAGATCGTGCACCACATCATGCATTTTGAAGCGTCTGATGTTCCCATATCTATCCTTCTCTACATCTTGGAACAAGCAGTTAGATATTAGATCACTAACATACTTGTTCCCAATATCTTCCATCATATCTTGACTAGATGAGCAAAGCAATCCTTGAGCCATCCAATGCTGAACTAAATCATCTTTTTCAAAATCAAAATCTTTTGGAAAAATTGAACAAAAGGAAAAGCATTTCTTCAAATGTGAAGGCAAATGATCAAAACTTACTTTAAGTACAAATTTTATCTGATCAAAATCTTCTAAATTCCAAACAATTTTATTTTTTATAGACAACCACCCAGCTACTCCCTTTACATTACACATTGTTCCCCCCAAAACATTTGCAATTAATGGCAGGCCTCTACATTTTTTTGCAATTTCCCTACCAATAGCCTCTAACTGCTGATCAGGTATGGATGCCTCTGTAGATCCAAAAACCTTCCCTTTTATTATCAACCAACAATCATCATCTGATAGCTTTTTTAAATGATGCCTACGCAAAGGAAGATACTTGGCTATGGATGATGCCACCCCTTCTTTACGAGTGGTTACAGCAATGGAGTTCCCACTAGTTTTCACAAATTTTGACAAAAGATCACTAAAAGTAGCCCAAGTATTGGAATTATCCTCCCACACATCATCAAGAACAAGAAGAAAAGTTTTCTTTTCTATTTTTTCTTCTAGTTGTTTGAGCAAAACATTCATATTATTTATTCCACCAGCACTAGGATCAATATGTTCCAACATCCCATTTAAAATTTTTTGTTCATCAAAATCATCAGAAACACACACCCATGCTACCACGTCAAACATTTTTCTCTTTTCTATTTCTTTGTAAATCAGTCTTGCTAAAGTTGTCTTTCCAACTCCTGCCATGCCAATTAAAGAAATGACAGAGATGGGATGCTGATGACTCCTTTGTTCAGTCAACAAGTTAACAATTTCTGTGACATCCTCATCCCTTCTTGATTCAAATTTTGAATCTAGAAAGGAGTGAGTATCAGGCTGGGATTTGCGAACCGAGGGCCTTTCGTTTCTAGCAAGAAGAGTATTAAAAACTGCATCTCCTTTTACTTTAACAAGAGACTCATTAATCTTCTTACTTTTATTAGCCATGTTGAAACGAAATGCAATGGGATTCGAGGGAGAGAAAAAGTTGCGCACCCGTTTCACTTGGCTTTGAGTCTCTACTCGATATCGGAGCACCTCATATGCAACCTCATCCAATACATCCACCATATCATAAGCAACGTCTTTGAGCTCCTGTAGCCAATCCCGTATTGCCACCTCACTTTGTCGTTCCTCTGCATCTTGGAGCACATGTTGAATCTGGTTGAGCAACTTGCTAAGCTTCTCCAACTCCTTCTCCAACCGCCAAGCAAAGCGAATCTGTCTAGCAGTAAACGGTGCCAATTTGAAAAGTGCCTCTTGTATGACAGGAACAAGAAAAGTTTCAGCCATCTTGCTTAAGCAGAGTCAGAGATTTAGCAAGCAGAGAGCAATTTGAGAGAAATGAAGAGAGCTGCAGGGTAGCAACTACCTTCTATATGGTAGGAATTAACCAAAAAGTAAAAAAAGGAAAGTATTTAGCGAACGGTTCTTCACTATTTTTTTATATGACAAATTAACCCCTACTAACATAAGAAGAACTCTTTAAAAATTCAACCGTCACCCTTTATTCTCTCTCTCTCTTCCTTCTATACATAGCATAAAGAAAGACTTACATAAGAAGACTACACTGCTAGTCCCTAGGCTAAAGAAGGGAATAAGATTATGACATCTAAGCATCTTAGAGAAAAGATGTCCCAAGTCCCAACCTCTCCTGGTCACCACTGGTTGGTCTTCTGAATAGCCGTCAAATCGCTTTGACTTCCTCCAATTTCCCCTCCATCAGCGTCTTCGTTGCTGCCTGTAATTTTCTTTTTTAATCTTTTTATATACAACAAGTGATATCATCCCCATTTAAATCATGTACATTTTAGATTTTAAACATAAATTTTAATTTTTTTAACAATTAAAACAAACTCTAAAGAGCTTATTTATTTTCCTTTTCATTTGTACTATCAAATACCATAATTGTATTTAATATATGAAAAAATGTTTTCATAATTAATTAATATTCATACATTTAAATTTTGTAATACAATGATTATATGCCTTTTCATAAAGTGCACTACAACCTTAAGGTTGGGTTCAAAGCCCTTTTCTCAAGATTGTAATCTGTTCAACAAAAATTAATATTCATTACATTACGGATTAATATTGAAATAATTTCAAATTTATAGCTAATAGTTATATCTAGTTGGATCCAAACATATCTGGTTAGATCCAAATATAATAGTTGTAACTAATAATATTCCTCCTATATATATAGGATTTATTTATTTTGTGTCCAAAAAATATAGAATAAAAAATAATAATTATATAATCATTATCACTTTTTATTTTAAAAATAATGAAGTTAACTTTTTAATTTAATTGTAAAGGTCATTTGTTAAGCTTTTATTAATTAATTTTAAATTAAAAAATAAAAGTTATTTTTTTAATATAAAATTCTATTAAAAAAATCATAATTCTTATTTAATAATTACTTCTTATTTTATACCATTAAAACATAAGATAAATAAACCCATACATATATATATATATATATGCTTTCAATTCATAACTAATGATTTCTCATTTCATTAAACTAAGATCTTTAACCTCGCATGTTAATTCCTATGTTT